GGCGAGGCAGTTGTCGGGCCCTCGCGACCTTTGCGGGGCGGGGGGCGGGGAGCCTCACTCCTGGTGGCCCCAGGCTGCTCGGTGAGGTCGGGCGAGGTAAACCCACCAGCTCCCCTTCCTGGCAAGCTGCCTGTTTTTCTGGATCTGGTGTTTGTGTGTGAAATGGATGCTGGTATTTTTATTTTCCTGGATTGCCTTTGGCTTGTAGCGAGGTCATGTTGGTGGCTCTGTTGGCGGTGGATGCCTAGTCCTTGGGCCTTCCTGGGCGGTCTTTCATGTTTCCTTTGTATCTGAGAGGCAGCTTCCGGTGAGAGCCCGCTGTTTGTGGCGTAGGTGATTAATTTGCTGTATATGTCTGTGGAGTTAACATCTTAATCCCCCCCCCCTTTTTTTTCTTTGAAGAACAGACATCTACCGAGCAGACCTGGTCGTTCCTCGTAGGGGGATGCGGTCCGGTCCCCGTAGGGTCCCTTCCGGGTCTTGGGGTCCACGCTCACAGGGGGCGCCCCTTGTTGTATGTGGGGGCTCCAAACCGCCGCGGGACGGCTTCAGCTCAGGCCCCGTGTATGAAATTGTAGCGGTTACTAGCATGGCAGGGCACTCATGGGAAAATCGAATGCTGTAGATGGCAAAATCGAGGCGCTCTTTGCGGGAAGAAAGCCATCAAGTTCTTATCGTTTAACAAAACAACCTTGTTGGCCACCCACAATTCTGGTCTGTTTCTGAGACCAAACAAATTAATGTTTAGCCTTTAAGATTCTGTAAGGAGAAAATTGTACATCCGAATTGTTTGGGTCAGTGTTCTGGTCTTTTTAATATTTAGCCATATTGTCAAAAACCTGAATGTGCGCGTTTTATTGCAAACATGGTGAGTGCAGGGTTCAAACTTGGTGTGTTATAGTGGACTTGCGGTAAATGTTATTGTCTTGTATAGAGAGACTTGGTTTATCCGTGTTATCTTGGATTATCATGATTGAGTGCGGTTGTTTCAGTGGCATTAAACCTGAACAGCTGAAAATTATGCCTTTGATTATTTACCTTGAAATACAATAGATATTAAACAAGATAACGTTATTAACTTACTTGAGTTTTAGTCTGGAAATTTCCATGGTGGTGGCAGGCATTCTGTGAATTGGTGTCAAGAGTGGACCAAGTCCCATTTCTGATAAAATCAGATAAACCGGGTGAGGTTCTGCTGTCCAGCAGGCTTTGTGTGTGTTACTCACGTAGGATGGCTAATTACGAAACTTCATTTCCATTGTAAGAATTTTTTTTTTTAATTGAGAGAGAAAAATATCGATTTGTTGTTCCGCTTGCTTAGGCATTCTTTGGTTGATTCTTGTATGTGCCCCGACCGGAGATGGACCCCCGACCTTGGCATGTGGGACGATGCTCTAACCAACTGAGCTGCCTGGGCAGGGCCGCAGTTGTCAGAATGTTAAGAGGGTCAGAGAGGTGGGTAAAGTCTCGCAAGTATTTCACGAGCAATGTTTTCTGTGGCTGTCTTACAGGTACACCAGGGGTTGGGAAAACCACACTAGGCAAAGAACTTGCCGCAAGATCGGGACTGAAATACGTTAATGTGGGTGATTTAGCTCGAGAAGGTAAGGGACATTTTGGTGTTAAATTTGTTTTTAAAAAGAGAAATAATAGAGTATTAGTACTGTACTGTGAGAACATACAAAAAGCAGAGAAAGATAGCCATTAAGGAATTTATATTCTTTAAATGTCTAAAGCTGTGTCTTGGTTACTTTGACTGTTACATTGCCCCCCCCCCCCCCCAATTTCCTGGCAGTTCTTGTAGATAGTAATAATTGGGAAGGTCATGAAGAGATTGATAGGACTTAGGATAGGTAGAATCTGAATGTGAGGAAGAGGAAGAATGTTTTTTGTTTGTTTTTGTTTTCAATATATTTTTAAAATTGATTTCAGAGAGGAAGTGAGAGGGGGAGAGAGAGAGAAATATCAATGATGAGAGAATCATTGATCAGCTGCCTCCTGCACATGCCCAACTGGGGATCAAGCCCACAACACGGCCATGTGACTGACTGGGAATGGAACTATGATCTCCTGGTTCCTAGGTTGATGCTCAACAACTGAGCCACACTGTCCAGGGCCGAGGGAGAATGGTTTTGAGATGGGTGAACACATAAAGGTTGGGACGGTGCTAAGCATATCTGTGGAGACAGTGATTGTATTGATCTCACTGGAAGAAAAGATTATTCCGAACTCAGGCAGTAGGACATGACTGTCCTATGGTATTTGCTTAGAGTAATTTGATAGTTGCTTGTCTGCATGAAACTGTACATACGCTAAAATGATACATGTTTTTTACTTATTTTACCCAGTTTCCCTTCAGTCTTTGTCACTTTGTTATTCTGTCTTTAACTTTTTATGTTCTGTAATGATTAGTACAGGTAGAAACTCAAATAAATTCAAGTAAAGGGAACTTTAAGTGTGCCTCATTAAAATTAAAAAGATTTAACATATATCTTTAAAATATATATTTTTAAACATATGACATTTTAAATTTTTTAAGTTCCTGACAGTTGCTACTTAAAGTAACTATTTCAGGTTTGATCTAATGTACATATTTTTTTCAAATGATCTAAAGTCTGATCACCAGATATCATGGAGTCTGGCAAGATGGCTTCTCCCAAGAGCATGCCGAAAGATGCACAGATGATGGCACAAATCCTGAAGGATATGGGGATTACAGAATATGAGCCAAGAGTTATAAATCAGATGTTGGAGTTTGCCTTCCGATATGTGACCACAATTCTAGATGATGCAAAAATTTATTCAAGCCATGCTAAGAAAGCTACTGTTGATGCAGATGATGTGCGATTGGCAATCCAGTGCCGTGCTGACCAGTCTTTTACCTCTCCTCCCCCAAGAGATTTTTTATTAGATATTGCAAGGCAAAGAAATCAACCCCCATTGCCATTGATCAAGCCATATTCAGGTCCTAGATTGCCGCCTGATAGATATTGCTTGACTGCTCCAAACTATAGACTTAAATCTTTACAAAAAAAGGCTTCTACTTCTGCGGGAAGAATAACAGTTCCACGGTTAAGTGTTGGTTCAGTTACTAGTAGACCAAGTACTCCCACACTTGGTACACCAACCCCACAAACCATGTCAGTTTCAACTAAAGTAGGGACTCCAATGTCCCTCACAGGGCAAAGATTTACAGTACAGATGCCCACTTCACAGTCCCCAGCTGTAAAAGCATCAATTCCTGCAACATCATCAGTTCAGAATGTTCTGATTAATCCATCATTAATTGGGTCCAAAAACATTCTTATTACCACTAACATGGTGTCATCACAAAATGCTGCCAATGAATCAACAAATGCATTGAAAAGAAAACGTGAAGATGATGATGATGACGATGATGATGATGACGACTATGATAATTTGTAATTTAGCCTTGATGCATGTAACATGTATACTTGATCTTGAATCCACTGTACTGAGATTAAACATGCATGCCAGATGTTTTCAAGTTGTGTTTGAGAAAACTTAGTATTTAATGAGTAAATATAGTTATCATAGTTTTTAATTGAGATGTTGTATTTTCTTTATTAGAAGTTGTAATGGTTTTTCATCAGCCTTTAAGAAATAAAGTTGTCATTCATTAATTTGATTGTTGGTACTTTGGCAATTACATTTTTAGAAACAATTTTATTCCTCATTATCACAAACAGGAATAATAGTTGTAACAACTTCAATTGTTGCAGTCTATTACCAATAGTGTGTGATCTCTAGTGGCTTCAGATCTCTTGTGTATAAGTCACTTTTATGGGTCATTCTCTCAAATTACTGAAGTATGGCCATGTTTCCTTTTTGGAGAGAACACTTGGTCAGGATTTTTATTCATAGTGAATCCTCATCTGTTTGGATTTATCTTCCTCAATAGCCCAAATTCTTCGTAGGTCCTATTTTTCTATCCCTTTGGTTATATTTAAGGACCCTGGTGTATCTCCCATATCTCTCCAGTTTAATTTTTTTTTTCCATTATCCCTTTTGCAGGTCAGTTCATTCTTGCTTACCACAGTTTGATATAAGTCACTATCATGCGCATATATATATTTATTTTAATCCTCATCCAAGGACATGCTTTTATTGATTTTAAAGGGAGAGAGAAACATCGATGTGAGAAGGAAACATTGATCAGCTGCCTCTCACATGTCCCTGGACCCAGGATCAAACCTGCAACCTGGGTATGTGCCTTGACTGGGAATTGAATCCACAGCCCTTCAGCATACAGACTAATGCTCCAACCAACTGAGCCACACTGGCCAGGGCTACCATGCTCATATATATATACTAGAGGCCCAGTGCACGAAATTCATGCACTGGTAGGGTCCCCAGTGGCTGGCAGCTGCTGGCCAGGTACTCCCTCCCTTCCCCTGGCCACCTGTCGCCACCGGGACCTCCCTTCCTTTTCCCGGCCAGTCCTGCCCCCTGGTTGAACTCCCAGAAGAACTCCCGGTTGAGGGGACAATTTGCATACTATGCTTTTATTATTTAGGATAGTTTTGAAAATATTTTTTTTATTGATTTCAGAGAGAAAGGAAGTGGGAGAGAGAGAGAAACATCAATGATGAGAGAGAATCGTTGATTGGCTGCTTCCTGCATGCCCCCTACTGGGGATCAAACCCGCAACCTGGGCATATATGACCAAAATTGAACCCAGGGACCCTTCAGTCCGCAGGCTGACACTATCCACTGAGCCATACCAGCTAGGGCCATGCTCATATTTTTAATCCAGGTCTGGCATTTAAGTTAGTAAAACTTAGGTCATTATTTTGCTATTGTATCTAGCTTTAAGTTTCCATTTTACACCTATATGAAATCTAGTTTTGTTTCTTTGCCTTTTTAACTTTAGTTTTTGACAAGTGATTTCAGAGTCATATACTGGAGTCATTTTCAGTCATCCAATTTGATCTCACCTCAATTTAACATTTCTAAACTTAATGAAGTTACTGTATAATTGATCATGAATGGCATTGCAAGGAATAGTAACAGTGGACCATTGTATCCTCTCCTACTTGTATTCACATCATTTTAGCCAGTTGTGTATCCACCTAATGGTGTATAGCAAGGGTGGGGAACCTTTCTTCTGCCAAGGGCCATTTGGATATTTATAACATCATTCACAGGCTGTACAAAATTATCAACTTAAATATAAGCCTGCTAGCCAATCAATGATTCTCATCACTGATGTTTCTATTTCTCCCTTTCCCTTCCTCTCTGAAATCAATATAAAATATATTTTTAAAAATAACATTTTGCCCTGGCCTGCTGGGGTCCAACCCCAGCGGGTCCAGGGGTCCCCAAAGGTGTGGATGGAATCGGCGAAGAAGGAATGACAGGGAGACAGCCTTCAGTTGACCAGCAGCCTAGTCAGGACCTCTAGCCAGGATCTCCAGCCAAAGTTCTGGTCGGAGTTCTGGTTAGGAACTGATCAGGATCTGATGTTTATTGTCTTGTTACATCTATATTTATACCAGCCGATTTTAATCCTGTCAATTTCTATTACAAAGGTTAGGGCGTTTCTTATCTCCATTCCAGGGAGTAAAGATTATGTAGCTTAACTACCCGCCTGGCACTTAGTTAAGGGGTTGTATCCCCTCCCTAACCTCAGGGAAAAATCCCCACCTGGGGAAACAACCTTTCTGGGAGAGGTGACCTTGGTTAAAACACATGGCACTAAGGAGAGCAAACATATTAAGAACAATATGCTATATATGCCAGGTCCCTTGAAACATATGCTGTGCAGATGTTTCTTCCCTGCAGCGACTGTGTCAAGCAGCAAGGATGGACTGGCTTCCAGCACTGGCCAGCTTGGCTCAGTGGATAGAGCGTCAGCCTGCAGACTGAAGGGTCCCAGGTTCGATTCCGGCCAAGGGCACATGCCTGGGTTGCAGGCTCAATCCCCAGTGGGGAGTGTGCAGGAGGCAGCTGATCAATGATTCTCTCTCATCATTGATGTTTCTATCTCTCTCTCCTTCTCCCTTTCTCTCTGAAATCAATAAAGAAATATATTTTAAAAAAACAACAACATTTCATTAACTTACCCTTAATGCATTGGCAGGGCCAGATCAAATAATTTCTTAGGCCCTATATGTTCCCCACCCCATATAATCTCAACCATTCTCTTAGTATTTTTATTGATGAGATGGAATTTGAGCTTAAAGGAAAGGTGTTTTCCCCCTCATATAATGCCAAGGTAAAGGATTTCTTGTCTGACTTTATATGGTGTTGAATGAGGCACTTTGTAAAGTTCTCAGAATGTACCAGATTTTTTTCCTCATGCCATTTAAAAATATCTAAGAATCTTTTTTTAATGTTTTTATTGATTTTAGAGAGGGAGAGATAGAAGTATTGATGAAGAGAAACATTAATCAGCTGCCTCCTACACGCCCCTACTGGGAATCGAGCCCACAACCCCAGGCATGTGCCCTGATCAGGAATTGAACCTCTTGGTGCATGGGATGACGCTCAATCCACTGATTCATATCAGTGGGGCTGTATCTTACTAGATAATATTCTGAGATACCTAGCCTCCTCATATTTCTCAAATGATATATTTTAAGGAAAACAACGCAATCATCTATAAAGCCATGGTTCTCAGCTAGGGGTAATTTTGCCCTTCAGGGAACTGGGGTTGAGGGAGTTGCTAATTGACATCTAATGAGTAGAGGACAGTGATTCTGCTGAACATCCCACAGTTCACATCTTCCACCCCTATAAAGAATTGCCAAGTTTAAAATGTCAATAGTATCTGAGGTTGAGAAGCTCTGCTATAAATAAGACTAAAGAAAAAAAACTTGTTTTAAACAACTGTCTAAATGGGTGTTTATTACCTTCCTAACCATCATGTTGAATTGCTCTATTATAGCTGACCTTCAACGACATGGATTTGAATTGCATGGGTCCCCTTATATGAAGATTTTTCAATTGACGTGTGCAATTCAACTCTGGGATTCCGTTTATGTGGAGGGCTGGCTAGTTATACATGGATTTTTTACTTTGTGGAAGGTTGGTCCTCCTAATCCCTGCAGTGTTCAAGGGTCAACTGTAAGAGACCATCTTTATGCCATTTGCAATCCTCGCAGGAAAAATTAGTTGGGAAATTAAGGTTAATAAAACTATTGTGTGACTAAGAATGCTTTTCTTATCCCTGTTCTTCCAGTCTCTCAGATTCCTCCTTGATTTCTCATGTGCAATCACTTAATTACATTTACCAGCATCCTTAATTTTCCTGCCACCAGTTTATCAGTCTGAAGTCTCTGTTCCTAACCCCAGGATGTCTGTAGGTCCAGACAAAGTAATATTATATTGACATTGGGTTGATAAAGCATAGCTGGGCCCTCAACACTTAGAATCTAGTGGTGGCAAACTGCTGTGTTTATAGGAACCACTAGCTAAAGATTCGCTAACAAAGCCTGCGGTATTTACTGTCTTGCCCTTTCCAGAAGTTTGTCATCCTCCCTCTGACCTCTTATGTATCCCATCTTTTCCTTCCACTGGAAGCCTTTGAAACTAACTTCATTGGCGTCTCCAACACTGTTCTCTCTCAATCTTGGCACCTGATCCTCTCCCTGCCAGCATATACCTCTTTCCCTGGTGATTTCACTGCAGCCATCTTGTAGTTTTGCCCCTCCTTCTAGTAATCTCAGGAATAGTCATGCCCTTTTAATGATGACTCTTAAGTTTATAATTAACACTGAAATGTACCATCTGGATAGTTCCCAGACATCTCTGAATTAGTGTTTTAAAAGCACATGCAGGAGTTATCCCTGACTCGCTCACTCCTGATTCCTGTCCCACACACATACAAACACATGCACACACTACACAGGTCCATTTGACCTTTAAATTTTGATTATGTGAAAAATCCCTGGTAGGTGTGGCTCAGTGGTTGAGAGTAGACCTAAGAACTAGGAGGTCACGGTTCAATTCCCTGTCAGGGCACATGCCCAGTGGGCTATATCCCCAGTGATGGGGGAGGAGTGTGAGTGCAGGAGGCAGAGGATCAATGATTCTCATCAATGATTTCCTCTCCATTCCTCTCTGAAATCAATAAAAATATTAAAAATATATATATAGCGGGTATGGGTGGGAGGCTGGGAAGAGAACAACCAAAGAACTTGTATGCATATATGCATAACCCATGGACACAGACAATAGGGTGGTGAAGACCTGGGGCTGGGGGTGGCGGGCAGGCTAGAAGAGGTCAATGGGGGGAAAAGGGGGACATACATAATCCTTTCAACAATAAAAATTAAAATATATGTGTATTATATATTATAATTTTCAGGTTACTTGCTTTTCATTTTATTATAAACTCTATGAGGGAAGGACTGTTTGTTTTTCTGGTTCTTTTTGTTCACTATTATATTCTCATTACCCCTAAGTCACTGGCATATTGTGTTTGATAAATGGGTTTTGAAATGAATTCTTGAAAGCTTGTATTACACTATTTTATTCAAGTACAGTATATTACATGATTTAGCAAATTCTGCATTTCAGTATTGTAGTATAGACATTAATTCTAAAAGTTAATGTTGTAATAGTTGTCTTTATTTTAGACAGCATATAGTTTAAAATATTTCACTAGTCTTTTAATAGTCAAGGATTTAATCCTGACCAGTGGGCTTTGTTGGAGCATTGTATTGTACACCAAAAGGTGATGGGTTCAACCAATTCCCAGTCAGGGCACCCTGGTTTTGAGTTGGATTCCCCGTCGGGGCACATATAGGAGGCAACCGATCAATGTTTCTCACAATGATGTTTCTCTCTTTTCCTCTCTCTAAAATCAATAATAAAAAAACACACATATGGTTTGGCTCAGTGGATAGAGCGTCAGCCTGCGGACTGAAGGGTCCCAGGTTCGATTCCATTCAAGGGCATGTACCTTGGTTGCGGGCACATCCCCAGTAGGGGGTGTGTAGGAGGCAGCTGATCGATGTTTCTCTCTCATCAATGTTTCTAACTCTCTATCCCTCTCCCTTCCTCTCTGTAAAAAATCAATAAAATATAAACACACACACACACACACAAACATATCCTTTGGTGAGGATTAAAAATAAAAAAGAGTAAAGGATTTAAAATGTGAAGGAACCTCAGCCTACTCCAGACTCCCACACAGTACAGATCAGCTATAGCTATTCTTATATTTTGTGACATGTAAAAAAATACAGTATTATAAAAATAATACACAGAAAAACTTCCAGTTCTACTAATTTATTTCCATCTTTTGTTTTTCTTCCAATCTTTGTCCCTGTTCCAAATAACAATGAATTCTGCTTTTTATGTTTTACCACTTATAGGCATTTATCATGTTGCTACTTAGTCTTACTACATAGTACTTTTAACTACCTTATACTTATTTCTTGAACTTTATTTAATTACATAGCATTTCATTAAGTTAGTGTATCAAGATTTAACTATTGGAACTTTTTTGTTGTTGAACATTTTAAATCACTTTATCACCTACAATCTTTTTCTGATTAGAAATTAAATGGTCGAGGAAATCCAAATGGGTATGTTTTTCTTTTTAAAGTTATTTTAAAAATACATTTCTAGAGTTGATTTACTATAAATGTACATATACAACAATAGGCATATAAAGGGTCATTTTAATTTATACCCCTTTAATAGCTGGGAAAGTTCAACATTTTTTTCATGTATTTTTACTCTCCATCCTGTGTGAATTCTTATTCTTTGTTAAGCTACTTATTTTTATCTGGATTTTTAAGGTCTTTGTATAACCCATATTTTAGTACTTAATCCTACAAAATATTTCTCCCACTCATTTTTTTCTGTTATATTATTTTTCATTAACAGAGATTTAACTTTTTAAAAAAATTTATCTTTATTGATTTCAGAGAGGAAGGGAGAGGGAGAGATAGAAACATCAATGATGAGAAAGGTACTAATAGGCTGCCTCCTGCACACCCCCTACTGGGGATCGGGCCCGCAACCCAGGCATGTGCCTTGACCGGGAATCAAATCTGGGACCCTGCAGTCCGCAGGCCAATGCTCTATCTATTGAGCAAACCAGCCAGGGCTAACATGTTTTAATTAGTCATTTTATTTCTTCACAAACTCAAACGAATCATTCCTTTACAGATTAAGAAATTAGCTCTTCAATCCACCTATTTTATGGAATAGACATATAGGTTGTTTTCTAAATTATTAACCAATGTTACCTACACCAAGACAATTTAATTTTTTAGGCTTACAGAGTTTCTGCCCAAGGAGGCAGAGGCCACATTAGGGTGCTGGAAAGGTGGGCGGCTCATGTCTCCTCAGTCCACATACCCTCCAGGCAAGACAGAGTTACAACTGCCTCTGGCCTTCCACTGACTCGCTTCAGAACTTAAGCTCATTTTAACCTATTTCAACCCATGCCAAAATATTAAAGGGGAAGAAGTGGGAAGACTGTAGTATGCCCTTAGACATAGATGGCTAAAAGGACGTTTTTAGCCTGCTTTATTACATACCTCCTAGGGATTCAGGTGAAGGTGCAATTGGTATGTCTCACCTGCTGAAGTAAGACTCACTTTGAAAGCCAGCTTTGATTTGTTGGAATCTTTTTTTTTTTTAATGAGTTTATTTGAACCAAGCTGATGACATGCTGGAAAGCAAGATCTCAAATGCTCCCTGGAATATTCTTACGTCAGATTTAAATCAGCCTTATTTAGACTGCCCATCATTCTTGTTTAGCCTTCTGAAATAAGACATTTAACCCTTGACTTTTGGGGATATTGGAAATCTAGAAGTAAAGATATTGTTCAGGAGCATCTGGATACTGACTCTCTTTCCCCAAACTACGAAGGTGTGACCTCAGTGACAACACGATTCATTTCTGAATTTGAGAACCTGTTTTTAAAAAAGTTTCATATTCTTGGCCAAATAAGTTTGGAACTTAATTTTGTGTTAATGTGTGTGAGATTGTTTGTATACCTGTGTCCTCTCTTCCTATCAATATGTAGGTCACCAAAATTAATACTGTTCTCTTCTGATAGCCCTACAAATTCAGAAATAGCTATTATTAATTCTTTAGTTGGTGTCAATTTTGATAACAAACAGTTTCAGATTTGTGGCCATCCAAGTTTCCCTCTAGACCAGCGGTTCTCAACCTGTGGGTTGTGACCCCTTTGGCGGTCGAACGACCCTTTCACAGGGGTCGCCTAAGACCATCCTGCATATCAGATATTTATACTACGATTCATAACAGTAGCAACATTACAGTTATGAAGTAGCAACGAAAAATAATTTTATGGTTGGGTCACAACATGAGGAACTGTATTTAAAGGGCCAGAAGGTTGAGAACCACTGCACAAAATTCTAATTTATTAGTATTTTCACAGTATCCATGTGACATTTATTGTCTTAGTGTCCTTCATTGTCTCTAAAAGAGTGATGATATATTTCCCTTCCTAAAGTCTAGAATTAATTGAATATTACTGAAAGTTACTTAGAAAATACTACTTTAACAAGCCAATGCAAATCTCTTTCAGGACAGTTATATGATGGCTATGATGAAGAGTATGACTGTCCTATTTTAGATGAAGATAGAGTAAGTATGAATTTTAAAATAAAATACACATTAAAAAATTTTAATTGGAAAGTTGACATCAGTTTTTTTAAGGAGCACTCACCTCCCCCCCCCCCCCCTTTCTTATAGGTAGTTGATGAGTTAGAAAACCAAATGAGTGAAGGTGGAGTTATTATTGATTACCATGGTTGTGATTTCTTCCCTGAACGCTGGTTTCATATAGTTTTTGTGCTGAAAACAGATAACAGCATATTGTACAAAAGACTTGAAACAAGGTAAGAAAGGGGATACACTGAATTCTTAAAGTATAATATAAACTTCTATTCAGATTCAGAAATTGGCCAATATGATTATTTGGTCTCTACCAACATTCTGAATGTAAGAGAAAAAGATGCTTACAAAAGATACATACAAATGCTTGTATAATACAGGCATTTGTATAACTGAGTGAATACCTCAACTAATAGTTTGATATAAGTGAAATGTACTATGTAGCAACCTTTTTAATATGCTTTTTCCATAATGTAAAACCTTGCTAGGAGAACAGCCAAGCCAATAACATATTCTTTGCTATTGACTGAATATTACCCAAATTATTATATTTGAGGCCTGGCTGATGTGGCTCATTGTTTGAGTGGCAATCTATGAACCAGGAGATCATGGTCTGATTCCCGGTCAGGGCACATGCCCAGGTTGCAGGCTCCGTCCCGTTGGAGGGGTGCAGGAGACAGCCAATCAATGATTCTCATCATTGATGTTTCTGTCTTTCTCTCCCTCTCCCTTCCTCTTTGAAATCAATAAAAATATATTTTAAAAATATACATATTTGACTTAGTCCTCCAAGAGAGAGTTACAATCCAGAATAACAAAAAAACAAAACAAGAAACAGAACAACCATTTTTGAGGAACACATTTTCCCACTGTCTTCTTTTTTTAAATTTTAAATGTAGCTCAGTTGATTAGAGCATCTTCCCAATACACCAAGGTTGCAGGTTTGATCAGAGCACATAAAAGAATTAACCAATGAATGCATAAATAAGTGGGACAACAAATCAGTGTTTCCCTCTCTTTCTCTCTCCCCCCCCATCAATAAAAAAATTTACTGTTTTTTATAAATAGCCAAAGATTAAGGTATGAAAAAACTATGAGAGCTAGTCTTTTTGTTTTTAGCCATTGAAAAAGTTAAAGTAATTACTGTTTTTAAAAAAGACAGCTCTATTGAGATAAATTCACATACCATACAATTTACCCATTTGAAGTGTACAATTCAATGGGTTTTAATATATTACAGAGATGTGCATCCATTACTACAACCAATTTTCTTATTTTTAAAAAATATATTTTTATAGATTTCAGAGAAGGGAGAGAGAGACATCAATGATGAGAGAGAATCATTAATTGGCTGCCTCCTGCACGCCCCCTACTGGGGATCCAGCCTGCAACCTGGGCATGTGCCCTTGACCTGAATCGAACCTGGGACCCTTCAGTCCGCAGGGCGATGCTCTATCCACTGAGCCAAACTGACTAGGGCACTACAACCAATTTTCAAAAATGTTCATCACCCCCTACACACAAAAAAGTCTGTCTTTTCATAAAATTAGTCATCTTTTAAGTAGTTCCATTTAATTTTTATTGTTACAAGATTTAACTAATTCAAGTTTGAATTTTCTTTATAATTTTCACTAGCTAATTGATTGGCTAATTTATATACTGCCTAAAGATTACTTGTTTATTTTTTCCATGTCTTTGGAATTTGTAAAGTAGAAATACATCTGTGTAATCAAGTACCCAAATTAGTATATAGTATTTCAATCATATGCATTTCATTTTATTATATGCTATCTATTTGTTTCATCTGTCTACATCTTAACTCCTCTAATTCTGTTTAAAATCTCGGACCATATCTATAGACTTCTTATTTATCTCATAACTCAGAATCTGGCTTGAGATAGATATTTTTGCTTAGTGATTGACATAAAGTCAGGGAGAAATAAATTTCAGATAAACCTAAACATTGGTCTTTAGTTTAATGCTCCTGTCAAAGAAGTCCCTCATTATAGGTGCCACGCTATTTTCTATAGGTAAGGAGACTACAAGAAGTATTTTTGCATGATTTTTCATGTATTCCAAAGTGTCCAGTTTCTGGTGTGTTCCTAAAACTCCAATTAATGCCATTTGTTTGCTTATCTTCTCTCTGCTTTCTAGGGGTTATAATGAGAAGAAATTAAAAGATAATGTTCAGTGTGAAATTTTTCAAATTCTTTATGAAGAAGCATTGGCATCCTACAGCGAAGAAATAGTACATCAGCTGCCCAGCAATAAACCAGAAGATCTAGAGAATAATATCAATCAGATATTGGAGTGGATTGAGCAATGGATCAAAGATCATATCTCGACTTAAAAGACTGGCCACTTTATAATCACTCTTAATATTTCTCTGCCCACATCAAATAAAGTATGCATTTATTAGTAAACCTTTTTTATTAAAATTGTGCTGCAGGACTAGTAGGTGGATAGTATAAAGGTTTATATTTGGGTGTGTTTTTTTCCATAAGAAAGTATAATGAATATAACTTTATTAACATGTTAAGTGCCCAGCCTGTTTTGTCTTCCACATGGAAAGTATAGTGTCAGTCACTGGTGACTGACTGAGTGCTTAACGTGTTAAAGATTGAGAATAAAAACTGTCATTGTTTAATGCTTCAATTGCTAAAGTATAAATAAACCTGACCAAATGTGTGGGAGGATATCGTTTAAGTTTATTAAAGAAGAAAATGAACATGATCTCGTAAAATAAAATTAAAATCTAAATATAAAGCACCAGAGTTTCCATTTTTTATGTATTCCCTTTTAAGGAAAGGAGGGGTGGACATACTTATCTATATATATAAAAGCCTAGCCCTGACTGGTTTGGCTCTGGATAAAGCATCAGCCTGCAAACTCAAGGGTCCCAGGTTCGATTCCGGTCAAGGGCATGTACCTTGGTTGCGGGCACATCCCCAGTGTGGGGTGTGCAGGAGGCAGCTGATTGATGTTTCTCTCTCATCGATGTTTCTAATTCTCTATCCCTCTCCCTTCCTCTCTGTAAAAAATCAATAAAATATATATATTTTTTAAAAAAGCCTAATATGCTAAGTGTCCAACCCATCGGTTAACTGCTCGACCAGTCACTATGACATGCACTGACCACCAGGGGGCAGATGCTCCGACTGGTAGGTTAGTTTGCTGCTGGGGTCTGGCTGATCGGGAGTGGTTTCTTTGGGCTCAATCCCTAGTGGAGGGTGTGCAGGAGGCAGCCAGTCAATGATCCTCTCTCATCATTGATGTTTCCCTTCCTCTCTGAAATCAATAAAAAATATATTTAAAAAATAAATTAAGGTATAATTCACATGCCAGGAAATTGACCATTTTAAAGAGTATAATCCACTAGTTTTTGTCATATTGACAAGACTGTACAACTATCTAATTCTGTAACATTATCATTACCCCATCAAAAATAAGTACCATACCTGTTAGCACTCACTTCCCGTTCTTCCCTTCTCCCAGCCCCTTGCTATCACTAATCTTTGTCTACATGGATTTGCATATTCTGGACATTTCATATAAATGTAATCAATTCAATATGTGGCATTTGTATCTGTCTTCTTAGCATAATGTATTCATGGTCATCCATAGTGTAGCCTGTATCAGTACTCTATTCCTTGTTATGTGGAATAATATTCCACTAAATGGCTATACCACATTTTGTTTATCCATTCCATCAGTTACTTTGGGTTGTATCCACTTTGGGTATTGTGAATTATGCTATGAATATCTGTGTACAAGTTTTATGTGGATATATGTTTTCAATTCTCTTGGATATATTTCTAGGAAGGAAATTGCTGGGCTAAATTGCAACTGAGTTTAATTTTTTGAGCAAATACCAAATTTTTCAGAAGTGGTTGCATTACTTTACATTCCCACCATCCATGTATTAGGTATCTAATTTCTCCGCATCCTTGCCAACACTTGCTACTGCTCATAATAGCCATCCTGTGGATATATTATCATATTTCGTTTCGTTTTGATTTACATTTCCCTAATGACTAATGATGTTGAGCCTCTTTTCATGTGCTCAACCACTGAGCCACACCAGTTGGTGGGCATGAACGGCTGTTTTGAAAAGACTATGCTGTTTTGAGAAGTCTATTATCTTTTCAATAATAGGATTCATTAAATTCTCTTGCTAATCAAGTGATTGCTCATTAAATAATATTGACTCGTAATAATAAATGAGATTTCCCTTTAACAGATGGAAAATATTGGAGTCTAATACAGAGCTACACACATTTTATGAATTTTATAAATATTAATATACTCACTAATTTCAGCCTAGATTTCATGTGAAACTAGTGACAATGCTTTAACACCCTATAGTTGTCTTAAAAATAACGTCATTTACTGTTTGTCTCTAGTTTTAGTCAAACCTACTTGTAAACTTTTTGTTTAAAAGGGATGATTTAAATCAAATTTAAGAAATAAGTGTGTGGGCCCTGGCCGGTTGGCTCAGTTGGTTAGAGCATTGTCCCAATACACGAAGGTTTCAGGTTCAATCTCTAGTCAGGGCACATACAAGAACCAACCAATAAATGCATAAATAAGTAGAACAACAAATCAATGTTTCTCTCTCTCTCACTCAATAAATAAAATAATGTAATGAAATAAAAAGATAAGTTTGCCAAATTTTTAATCATTTTATAATTCTGTAAATCAGACTTCTTAATATGATTTATTCAGTTTCCCAAGAGTGCCTTAAGATAATAAGCTTTGGCATATGCATAACCAATTATTTCTTTCCCTTATGCCCTTCTTGGTATATTTTAATTTTGTGTGCTTTGAGATAGGGGTTTGGCCTTACTTCAGTTATATTTCTTCAGCATTCTAAGCATGTCCTACCACCAATCCTTACTAACATTTAAATTTGTCTTTAATACAAAAGTTCTCAGTCAAAACTGCTGAGAACTGTTTATTCTTTCCTATGGAGTGGGAAGAGGGCAAGGTAAAAAAAAATCACTTTTTAATAATTTTAATTGCTGTATATGTGAGAAACAATATGAAAATTCTTTATATATACCAAGGCTTTTACTTAAAATTTAGTTCCCTAACCCTTTTAATGACATAAATCTAGTGACAGTCTGATGTAAGCTATAAACACACTTCCTCCAAAAAGATATACATATTACTACAAAATGTTGTTTATATTTTTCAAAGATTTACAGATACCTGAAATCCATCCAGAGGTTCATTGTTTAAGGGGTTAATTTTTATGGAAGGGGATTAAAAAATAATTTGTGAAACAAGACTAGTGAATAGAAAAGCATATTGGTCATCCTGGAGGTCCTAGCCAGTGGATTAAGCAAGAAAATAAAGACACGCAGAGCTGAAAGAAATAAACTATTCTCAGTCAACATGATTACCTATGTAGAAATTCCAAACAGAATCCACACAAAAGCTACTTGAACTAATAATTTACTGTTGGCAAGGTCACAGAATACTAGATCAATACACAAAAGTCAACTGCATTTCCATACAGTAGTGAAACGATTGAAAATTAAAACTATTTACAGTACCAAAAATCATGATGTACTGAGGTATATGTCTAATAAAATATGTGCAATATCTGCATGCTGAAAATTCAAATGAAAGATTCAATTAGATGGATATACCAGGTTCATGAATTACAAGACTCAATATTAACATGTCAGTTTTCCCCAAATCCTAATATATAAAGACCCTGGGTCTGTCACATCTGCAACGACCAGAGGCTCGACCAACTGGAAGTCAGTCCTGCAGTCAGCGCTGGGTTGCCGTGGCGACCCAGCACTCACTGCTATGACTACAGGCATGGTGACCCAGCACTGACTGCTGAGGGGGCTACAAATCAGGCCCAGAGAGAGGCTTGAAGAGAGAAGCAGGGTCTGATCCATAGCCTCTGTGGCAACTGTTGATCAGCACTTGCCTCTCTTTAGCTCTGGGCCTGGTCAGCAGCCGGCCTCCATTTCTTTCCAGGCCTCCACCAGGGCTACTCATCAGCCCTGCCTTTCTGATCAGGCCCGTTGATAGGCCGAGAGACACTGACTGGCATAGAAACCAACCAATCAGAACCAAATCTGGTCAACTGTGAGGAGCCAATGGCTGCCTAGGAGGCGGACTGGCATAAAACTGACTGGCATAGAAACTGACCAATCAGAACCAAAATGGCCGGCAGAGGAAGGCAGTTGAGGGGGACCAGGCTTGCAGGGGAGGGCAGTTGGGGGCAACCAGGCTGGCAGGGGAGGGCAGTTGGGGGCCATCAGGCTGGCAGGGGAGGGCAGTTGGGGGGGATTGGGCCAGCAGGGGAACAGTTAGGTGTTAATCAGGCCGGCAGGGGAGCGGTTAGGGAGTGATCGGGCTGTTGGGCAGAAGCAGTTGGGGGCAATCAGGCAGGCAGGCAGGCGAGCGATTAGGAGCCAGCAGTCCCAGATTGTGAGAGGGATGTCCAAGGGGTCCCAGATTGGGGAGGGTGCAGGCTGGGCTGAGGGACATCCCCCCAACTCAGTGCACAAATTTCATGCACCAGGCCTCTAGTTCTATAAACTCAATCCCAATAAAAATCCCAGCATAAAATGGAAGTTGATAAGCTGATTTGAAAATTTATATGGAAATCTATAGGAATGAGAATAGATAAGCAATGCTGAAAGAGAATAAATATTGAAAAAGTTAAAAGACTTATAGTACCTCACTTCAAGATTTGCTATAATAAAGTATTAATTGAGCCCTGGCCAGTGTGACTCAGTTGGTTTAGTTTCATCCTATGCACCAAAAGGTTGCTGATTTGATTCCTTGTCAAGGCACATGCCCAGGTTTTGGATTTGATCCCCAGTGGGGGTGCCTGCAGGAGGCAACCAATCAATGTTTCTCTCTCACATTGATTTTTTTTCTCTCTCCCTTTCCTCATGCTCTAAAATTTTTTTTAAATCAATAAAATAGGTTGAAATTTTAAAATGTGTTTTTAAAAAAGTTTTAATTGAAGAAAAATTATTTTTGGTTTGCAAAGCTATTGAATATGTTTATCACCCTAAATGAGATAGTACGCAACTGACTTTACAGTTATAAATATATTACTCTTCTACGATACAGTGGGGCCTTGACTTACGAGTTTAATTCGTTCCGTGACGGAGCTCGTAACTCAAATTACTCATATGTCAAATCACTGTGACGTTCACTGCGCCAACTAGCAGTGGGGTATCTGAAGCTGGCTCGTACATAACCCGAATTTTAGCTGGCAACTCAAAGCAAAAATTCGGCCGAGAGACGGCTCGTATCTCGAAAAAACTCGTTAGTCGGGACACTCGTAAGTCAAGGCCCCACTGTAATTTTAAATCCCTTAGCATCTAATAAGCACATAGCATTGATCTTGTCCTATTATCAGGAGAAATTTTAGAGCCTCGGTTCTGTCTAGTTTTCCATATATCTAGGTATGTTTGCTTTCGAAAAGCAGCTGGTTAAGGAAAATGTGGACTGGATCTGGAGAAGAGAAACACTACTAAAAAGAAGTTGGCTACTGCGAGGAAAGGGTTTCTTAGTTTATTTCCAAACCAAAGTAATCTTTAAATCCAGCGACTACGAAGTCCCTTCAGTTATTTCATGGATGTTGGTGTGGACAAAAAAGGGGCTACTTACTAAACCTGACAATCTCAGGGGAAGTTTGCATGGTGGGCCTTAAAAACTCAGAGACTGAAAGTAACCATATAGGATGTTCTGAACACAAAAATTCCTAACTAAAAGCGAGTCATGGGGGA